ATCTAATCTGCTAAAAATATGTAGAAGTTTATTTATGCTGCGCACAATATTTTATGGATCTCCAAGCTCGGCCTTAAATTCATGCAATTTCATGGCCCGCAAGGGCCCAAAACTGAGGGGGGTGGTGATCTCGGGAACGAAAAGCCCGTCGAGCTTGATATTTGGCCAATCGTAATCTTATCAGATACCTATCAAATGGTATAAATATGGAGAGAATCGGCCGACCCCCATCTTTTGACTCTGCCCGGTTTTCTCAGACAATGACTCTTAATACTTTAGTCACATTATGTGAGTGACACACAACAGATGACACGACCTTCCTAATATATATATTAAAATTCTGTCAGCAAAGATGAAACAAAATAACGAATCGTAATTTAGAAAGTTGGACTCAAAGAGTGAAAGACTTTTGCTTACAGAATTCCAATAAAGACAGTATGCGGCCCCAAAAGCTGAACTCCTAAAACTCCAATAAGTAAGGAAATAATTTTTAAAAATTGGTTCACTTGAATTGCGAAATATTTTAAAACCCTCCAATAAAGTTTTTGGACTTAAACAATTAAATCTTCCAATCAAGACATATTGCCTATTGGGCAGCCTCGTGAATGAATTTCAAGTTTGAACACAGCTTGATAAAGCCAAGCTTTCTTTTCACAGATCTCGTTTTGACTAGATGAAGAGCATCGAGACTCTCGACCCAGGGTTGGTCATCGAATTGAAATGCATATTCAGCTCCACTATGTTGCTGGTACCAGAGCAATATTGCTTGTCTGTCTGGTTGAAATGCATGAATTCGCCCAATTAATATCAATTGTATCAAGATGGACTACCTCATCACTTCAAACCAGTATTGACAATATCTCTGAATGGACTCACTACAACAACATGCGATTGAATGTCAAAAAAACGAAGAAGCTCCGTATATCTTTCTCCAAGAGCCCTTTAACATTATAACGTCTTTCTTCGTCTAGCCTATGATTTTTCACGCAGTCTTGTAAGATATGGCACAGTTCATGGTTATTCTGAAATGAGAGCAAGACAGGATTATTCTTATTTAATGCATCACACAGACAAAATAAAACGAGCAGCCTGTTTTGTGTCGGTACCATTTCTTTTTTGTTTTGTAGTTCTGGAATTTAAGCACCACTGTGCCATCCTCACGCAATTCTAAGAGGTTCTTGTCTGAAATTTCTGGACTGCCCATGGTCAGTGCTTCTGATAAGAGTTCTAAAGTTCTTATTTCTAGGCGGAATGAGAACATAAAGTGAAAAAATTAAAAGGTCTGCACTCTCCCTTGCTTTGGTAGCAGCTTTCTTAGCCATCTCGACTCTCTCCTTTTGCAGAGCAATTGTTGCCATTATCTCGTTCCAGTCCAGCCTTCGGTTTAGGGATTCGAGATCTTCTTTGGAATAAGGGGTTTCTTTTTGACCAACTCTCTGCAGGTTTGCTACCTGTCCACGAAGATTTTTGATGATGGGAACATCAGGGAAATCTGGTGACTGTTCTGGGTGCATAAATTTTGCAGTTGCGTGATTAGCCACTGTGTTCGAAGATAATCGCCTGACTTCCTGAAAGAAGAAAATCGGAACCGTAAATTAGTTCTTTCCGTCCAAATGACGTGCATGGAAACAAAAATGCATTAAGCTTTGACTGAAGACAGATTAAAGTTGGGTCAAAATATTTTCTAATTAATTTCTAAAAGATATTTTCTATCTTTATATGACAACATTCTTGTAAGTGGGCGTAGTCAATAGAGGGGGGAAAATGTTTTAACTTCTAGAAATTAAAATTACGAAAGTCCTTTCTTACTTTCAAATAGGTCAAGTATTGTTCACTGACGTGCAGTCAGTTCGGGTTCGGGTGTGAATTCCAGTGTCAACGCAAGAAAGCGTGTGGAAAAATAAAAAGTGAAAAACCTGTGTAAATAGATGCATAGATACGACACACTGCATGACTTTACCCCTGTAACTTGTCTGCATGTGGAGTTATAGAATATCCACTCAGTGAATAAAAACAATTAAAGAAATAAAATCCATAAAAGCTTATCTAGCTATACTTACACAGAAGTCTTTCTTTGTTTTTTTTAAAAGGTACTACGAGTGACTAGAGGTTTTTGTCCGGCTTTGTGAAATAGGATTTCAGTTGTTTAAACAGGAAGTTCCGGTATAAAAGGGGAGGCTCCGCCCCCCTTCACGTCAGATTCGAGATTCAAAATTTGAAAATGGTACATCCAAAATGGCAGACGACAGCGGACAGAAGTCCGGAGCTCAAAAAAACATCATCATTGTTTAAATTTAACAATAAATATTCCCTAATTTGTCAATAAATACATTTATAAATGAAAAAGGAATGTTATAAGCATGATTTTATCGAAGTTGTGAMCCAAAAATTTGAAATATACCCGTACCGAAAAACGTAAACAAAGCGTAATGTGTTTAGTTGTGCCGTGACAAGAAACTCACAAAAAGCAACATATTGTTCCCGCCTTTTGCTCCAAGTGTTGACACATGTTTGCGCGGGAAAACACTGGCAGCTTTGACACTTTATAAGTTTTCATGTTGTCTTCCTGTTGGTGTCAAAAATGGCAGCAAAAGAAAGTCGAAAAAGATCGAGATCTACTCTCCAATTTGAAGATAACGAGGAGAAACTCTCCTTACTTCGCGCCAGAATAGCGGAATCGAAAAAATTACTGGGCGAATGCAATAATTATTCATGGATTCCGAAGCTTATAGATTTTTACGACTCCCATCGTGAGAAAAAGAGTGATGCCGGTCGGCCGGATACGTCTGGGACAATAGATGTAAAACTTCCAGTTATAGCTCCACCTTCTYCTTCCTCTGGTCATGAGCCTTCAAAAGTAGAAATCCACACAGCTCTGGAGGACGACGACGGAAAGTACTTTATCGCTTGTAAAGCTACAATTCGTAGCCTGGTGAAGGGCTTGACGGGGTCCAAAGGATGCTGTTCTGTTTGTGGTGGGTTTTTACTTCTTGATAGCTTCCAGATGGAAAGAAGAGGGCATTGTGGCCGTATTAGTTTCACATGCGAAAACAACCACGAAACTGTCTGGTTTAGTTCGCCAATCTTGAAGTCCAAATACGTTGCAAACCTCAGGTGAGCACTGCAT